TCATCGATTCTTTAAGCAGAGTAGTCAAAATCTTCAAAATTGTTCCCAAAATAACATTTAGAGAAATACCCTAAAATATAACACAAATAGGTTTAAATTGTGGTCAATAATAACACAACACCTTCAAAGTTCCACAGACCATTGCTGAACTATTACAAACCAATTTTGCCCTCATTTAATTAAGACAAAAGAAATATAAATTTCCCATTTTCACAAAATCATTCTCTCTTCTTTTTTTAGTTCTTTTGTTTTCTATAGATGTTATTTAGCTAAAAGGTTATTTCACTAATTGTGGATGTAACATGTGGTATGTTGTGGAACATTTAGGGAGAGTGTATGCTAGTATTGGCCACAAAACCATTTTTCATGGTATTTGTGAGCTAACAATGATACCATTTCATGTTTTTTCACCAAAATACTTTTATTTTAAACATTGATTCCTAGATAAAACAAAATTTAGATCATCGATCTCCCAATAGAAGATGAAGAACACAAAATCAATCAAACCGTATAAGCAAACTAATTAAGATCAATCTAGACTCAATCTAAAGGATATATATCTACATAAATTCGATCGAGGTTTGCTAAAGCATATATATGTGTAATTCTAATTATAATCTTCTGTTCAACAAAAAAATCAAGGAATTAAACGGAGAATTAAGAAGGGAGAAATGAAATAAGAACCTAGGGAACTTGTTGTTCTTGACAGCTTTTTGGCCATATTTCCTCCATCGATAACCATCATCAAGAATATCCACTTGGCTCCTTGTCTGAAACGCAAACCTTTGTTTCTTCCCTTTCTTTTTTGACTCCAAGCTATTCGAAGAACCTTCTCTAACCTTTGAGGCTTCTTCTTCACCTTGATTCAACTCCGATTTAGAAAGGTTTTGATGCGGTTTGAGCGACAAAAAAGAAGCATACAACGACCCGTTATCATATCCTTCCATATTCGTAATTAATTGTGGATTAATCTATATAACAATACAAACCGATCCACCTGAATTTCAAAAGAAGAATAATTTG